TTAAAAAAAAATCAGAAAGTGGTCTTTAATTCCTATATTGAAGCTGTCTAACTTTAAGTTTACAGTGTCCCTTTTAACAAAAAAAGCAGGCCTTTAAAGTGTAAAGAGAAGATGGGTGTTCTTTGGCTAAGCTAACGCCGCTGGCTTCAACAATAATTCCTGAATTAAGTGGCTATATTCTCTCACAGGATGGTTGGTGAAAGCATTTGGAAAACTTTAGAAACTCACAGCAACAAAACAAACAGTGTCTTAAAAGTCCTGAAGCCGGATTGCACCTATCAGGTCAAAGTTCAGGTCCAGTGTCTGAGCAAAGTGTACAACACAAATGACTTCATCACTCTTCGTACACCGGAGGGATGTAAGTGGCCTTTGCTTCTTCTGTTTTTAATTCTTGGAACTGTCAGGTAGCACTGCCGGGGAACAGATTCTCAGCTGGGGTAAATTCCCATAACTCCACTGATTTGAGGCTCTTCCTCTAGATAATTTTGTGTATCTAACCATCACAAGCCTCTCCTTGGGAAATTCATCTCCTCTACAGTACCGTGAAAGGGTCTGTGGAAGGAATAGTGAAGTCGCTCCATTTCGTCTGTGATTTTTTTTGGGGTGGGTGGTGGTAAAAGGTACAAAATTAAATTTTGATTCTGACTATATTGGGCAAAATCCTTGAATCAAGCAATTCTTGTTGACTCAAGGGGGTCAGATTGTACCCTCTTGGTAGCATATAAGCCTGTTTATTAGTATGAGGGTATGTCTACACTACAAAGTTAATTCAAACTAATGGATGTTAGTTCGAATTAACTTTGATAGGTGCTACACTAGCGCTCCGCTAGTTCGAACTTAATTCGAACTAGCGGAGCGCTTAGTTCGAACTAGGTAAACCTCATTCTACGAGGACTAAGCTTAGTTCGAACTTACTAGTTCGAATTAAGGGGTGTGTAGCCCCTTAATTCGAACTAGTGGGAGGCTAGCCCTCCCCAGCTTTCCCTGGTGGCCACTCTGGCCAACACCAGGGAAACTCTATTGCCCCCCTCCCGGCCCCGGACCCCTTAAAGGGGCACAGGCTGGCTACGGTGCCCGTGCCAGGTGCAAGCCTGCCAGCACCCAGCTAGCAGACCCTGCACTTGGCACGGCTCGAGCCAGCCACCCGATGCCCCCCAGCCCTCCCCCTCTTCCCCGGAGGTTGCCCGGGCCCCCA